GTAATATATAATGTATATTCTTATTGATGGTGTTCACTAACTTACGTATCGTAAGTTTACTGATAACGTATGTCAGTATTAAATCGAGCAAACTAATTGTTTTTAAATAAGTAAATGTTTATTCAGAGCGTCTAATACTACAGAATTAAATGACGATTTTGCAATATTCATTATTAAACATGGAAGTCGTTCTATCATGGTGTGTACGAGTTTTAGGAAAGATTTATAGTAAATAATGTAGTAATCGTGACACAACGATGCACCGGCGAATGCTTCGAATACGGATTCGAGCAACAGAAGCAACAATGCGGTCGCCTCGAATACAGATTTCGAGCAATGGAAGCAACGCATGGCGCTGCTTAGCTTCCAATCTAAAATGCTGGAACCGTATCTACAGCTTTTCCGTTTAAAATTGCCCGATAATGGTCGTTGCGGTTTCGAATTGATGGTCGGTTCTTTTGTAAGTGGAGCAAGGTTTGTACGGTCGTGCAAACACCCTTTCATTCGTTCAATCCTGTCATCGGGCTGTCTGTCCAACGTCGTTCCGTATAACACAACGTTCGTTCGTCAGTTTCACAATTTCAGAAGCGCGAAAGTGCAATAACGGAAAGCGCGCGGGACAGGTTTATGACTAGGCGCGGTGGTCCTTACATTTTCGCATTTACGCTCGACTGACAGCTGTGGTCGGATGTTCATGACGCGTGCATATTTTACGAGCCGCAGGTCTTCTTCTTATCGGAACTGATTGCGCAGCAGAAAAGCCACTTTACGTTGCGTTCGAAGGACGAACCGTAGCTTGCGTCGTAGTTTCAATCGTCGAATTACGGTTTAAATCTATCAAGATAATAACAAAAGGTATAATGACCTCCAGTCAGTGCGAGACGCGTGATATCGTACTTGCGTGAAACAGCGAGTTTTCCTACCTATCAATTAAGCAGCGATCGATGTTCGTATAAAAAGTATCCGCAGAATGTGTAGAATAGAACTCTATAGTCCACGATGTGCACCTACGGGAACGTAAATACACATGGGCATGGAATCAAGTGTCAAAGAAAGAAAGAAACTCTACAACTCTTTATACGAAGATTATTTTTAGTCGAAATAATAGGCGACATTTTTATCGTCAGAAACATATGCCGTGATTTTTTCCTATATCCATGGTGTCTCTATACAGCTCACCTAGGCTAGTTTCTTGCTACATTTCTGACTGCTATAAATAAATCGCAAGTTATCGATCACTGCTTGTCTATGTTTTGAGAGAATCTGACAGACGGTTGCCGTATCCGCAAATTATCCACTTGTTTTCTCTGGTGGCGTTGAATGGCACTGAATAAATATTATAAGGCAGTTATGCCTAGAATTGTTTGAAATAGAAGGGAACATTCTACTTTGTTACATTGAAAATACGAACAATAACCCGGGGAAAAAGTAACAAATTACTTAGAGTAAGTTATGAAAACAACGAACTACAATCTCGCGTCTCATGCTTGGCAACGGAGCGCGTTCTACCCTATTACTCGGATAACTTTAAAGTGGAATTCCATTTCACTGATATTTCAAGCGATGCGCCAGTTTGTCCCTATTTACGAAACAGACGTCTACTGACCTCTCAGTAGTGTCCGCCGTCATTAAAGAACAATCCATAAGAAGGAAAGCTGCATTTCCCCGATGGAGGCAGGGCACGTTTTGCGAAGGTTGAAACTGCAGACAAACTAGGCACTCTTCTATCCGACTCTCCGTTGCGTGGGCGGAACAGAGATAGAATAAGTAGGTTAACGAAATGGTCGTTCGCAAGCTTGAGATACCGCCACCAATTTCAGTGGCCCTCAACTCGATTCGAAGTTTCTCCTTCGTCCTTTAGGAGGATCCCCATGGTAGAACACGCCGCGAAGCGACAACAATTTTCCAGTCGGTTGTTCCTCCTCCTTCGTGCCGCTACGCATGCATGCACAAAATGTACTTTGCACGTAAGCCTCGGAAACGGAAGATCTCTACCTCTTAGAAACGTCTGCGAGCCACGCCGGCGGGGAAGTGGAAGGAAGGAACGAACGAACGAACGAACGAACGAACGAAAAGGAAGAATTATCACGGAGCCACCGTTCGAAGCGGGGTCCACTTGATTAAGGCATACAAGAAAAACATTCCATCAGTGAATTCCTCGCAATCTGTTTTTCGACGAACAGTCCAGTCCGTTTCGCTTCGGCGTTAATTGCGTTATTATCGACACCAGTCCTGAATAACTTTTCTTTTTCTCCCGTCCCTCGATCTTTCTCGCACGCATCGCGTTATTGACTTTCGTCTACGTGAAAACTAGTAACTAGTCTGGCTTTGATTAACAAATTTTATTTATGCTTCATTTGACAACAAAGATTACTTACAAGTTCGAAATCGAACGAATAAATTATTCGAATCGTAGGACACTCGTTTTACAAAGACGAATAAACTTCGATTTACGTGTTGCGTTTGAAAAATGCACCCAAACGTCTCTGTTCGCTCCAGTCAGTTCGTATCAGCTCACGGTCGTGCATACAACTCGACGATAAAGTCGATTCCGTGACTCCTCTGGCTCTTGAACCGGATGGTAACGTTCTGGTGTCCTGGGCCACCATTGAGAATGCTGGCGTAGGCACCGTTACCGTTGGTCTTCTGGTCAAGTGCCTGGACCAAGGTGATCCTGTCCCATCTCGTTGTGTTGAAGGTTTTTGTGTCGGTAACTATCTGCATCCAAGAAGAATTCTTAACGACTCTGCTTCTGACTACAAGTCTGTCACCAGGCATTCTGTACCCAATGATCAGGTTGTGCGACTTGTTTGAATTGTTGGCATATAGAGCGACTTGAGGAACAGAGCTGACTTCCGTAAAGATGGCAGCTACGGCCACTATTGCCAAGAAAACGATCACTTTTCCCATTACCATGTCTGACAAGTTTGTAAAAGACTCGTACGAATTACGTGATGATCTCGACTGTATTGCTTTCTGCAGACTAAGTGTCGACGGCAACCGGCTGCTTAAATATCTACGCCAATATCAGCTTATCAGCTTATCTGATTTATCACGGTATGATTGTACGAAGAGCACACTTGTTTTTTCTAGAAAGATTCATTCTAAGAACCGGAACAGTATGGTTAGATGATGATGTTTTCGTGTCATGTCTGATAATTATCAACCGATTATCGTTTGCGATAGCTAAGCTGCTTTCTCAGAATTAATCATTAAGTATTAAAAGTAAATAAAATCGTTTAGTTTAGATATTTTCAGTTATATAAAACATCGAGCAGTTCCCTCGATTACGATGACATTTCCCAGTTAATTCTATATTTTCACGTTAACTTGCAAATATTGACATCCGCGAATAGAACTAAATGTTCCATGTATCTTTTTTATTAAATGTCATTCTTTTTTATCGTTTTGTTCTTTTCTTAGTATTTGTTCCTTTCTTGGAAATTCGACGTACCATGTTTATTAGATTGATTCGTACATACCTTTTCAAACACAGGCGATAATCATCATTATCAACGATAGACTACCACGTGTAAGGTGTTTGGCCTCAATCTCGTAATAGACGGCGATCTCTATAATTCATGAGCAACCCAACTCTATCTAATGCTGCATCCTGCGGTGTGTATTCTGTTCACATGTACGCACACGCCCTCCAATTCTATGCACCTTCGATGGGTTACGTTCGTAAATTTCACGGCATGAGGCCTTTGAAAGCATCCAAATAACGTATTATGAAATGGTTTAACTTACCTGCGCTTAAAATAAAATAGAAATAATCCAGGTAACCAACTGTGCCGACGTAATTCAATTTAACACGCTGAAAATATACTGTATCATTAAAAGCCTGTTTACACGCGTTTTAATAATGCTGTCACTTGTGTGTATTTCGTACACGTAATACGGAGAATTAGATACACCCACGAACAAATATTGACACTCGTGTTGATACATTGTGTGCTCAGCTGATAGGATTTTAATCATTTTTCTGCCTGATTTTCCGTTGTTTCGTTACACACACCGACAGACCGCGGAATTTCGTAGTTGGCGCCCTACATTAGCAACCCTACTGACTGCGAGCGCTGGTGCCGCTTTGTCAAGGCCGTTGTAGGTTGTTTGCTCAGATGCTTGTTAACCGTGTGAGCATCCAATATGTTACCTCGTGTATGCACTTAGGTCCTGCATCGAGAGTAGATTCACTCGGATCATTAAGTCAATTGCTGGATACACGATGACAGAATATCGCTGATAATAGCTACGAAATGTATTCGCAGATGAAAATTATATCGCTAACCGCTGGATGTTGATTGAGTTTTCCATGAAGAAATAAAATAAAATTCTTTATTTTTCCGAATTCTTTTTACGAGTCGCAATAAAAAGGAAAAAAGAAATTGAAAAATCGGACAAATTGACAAATCGCAATAATTTTTATATAGAGTCTGTATGTCTGTAATTAAGACTCTATAAAAAAAAAAAGTGACTTTTTCGTTCATTCACTTTCACTTCCGTTGAAGCGATATACGTTTATAATTGCAATTAAATCATACTCGCGCATTAGATCAGCCGAGCTCGACTCGTAGTTTCCAAGTACATACAAGTGTGCATATTTCGCAAGAACACCAACAAAAACCAGGAAATTTCAAACTTTCGAGCACGCACGTATCTACATTAACACGCATACCCTTGTAAATATAAATAGACAGGTAAGAAAGCTAGAACTTCACTTTCCAATATTTCTCATTGCGTGAACAATTGTCGGGCTCGGTGCTGTTCGAATGTAGCATGCTAGACGAAAAACGACCCCGAAGCCTGCATATCGGCAGCTTTGCATGGTGCTTTTAGCATTAATTAATTGGTTGTGTACTTCGGAAATCCGAGGCAAGGATCGATTTCAACCGTCTTAACGAGCTCTCCGGTAATGCTGATCCAAGGGGGTGAATCCGCTTTCCTAGCCACTCAAATCGTCTGCCTGTGAACGCAGACCGATTGAATCACGACTTTTCCGTCGGTCATTTGAGAACGTTCGACATCGCGTGTGTCGCTGCGATCAAACATCCACGGCATAACGGATCGCATATCGTCGAATAATTAATACGTTACGGTGAAATTTAATTGGATTATGATAAGAAGGGTGAACTGGAGCACGGTTCATCGGATCGATAATGCGAAACAGCGGGGATTTTCGAGTTGGGGCAACGTTAATTATAAATCGCTTTGCGAAGAGGAGAATGGAAGAATCGCGGGAGTGTGAGGCTAAAGGATAAAAGGGATAAAGGGGATAATAAGCGTTGAGGTCACCCGTTGGGACAATTAGACGAACAGAAAAGTTCCATCGCAGTTTTGTAGTCTTCTGACCGTCCCCGTCACAGCCAGACTGGCAGCTTACTAGTTTTCTCCATTATTCGTTCGCATCTTTTGGGGAATTAACATATTATATTGGACTTATAACGCCGTCAGATTGATGCGTCTGCGCGAATAATCGACGAAACGTTTATCTTTATCGATTATTCAAACGCCGACATCTGTTTGCGCGTTCTGGTCTGAAGAGCAGACCAGATATCCAATGCAGAAAACGAAAGTGAATTCTTCTTTTCCATTCAAAGAAAATGTTCGTTTTGCTGTACAACATCGTGTCGAAGATATGCTTAATCTTATTTGAGAATAATATTGCGTTGTGCGAGAACCACAATAAAAAAAAGAAAAAGAATCGAGGATTTCGCAATATTTCCTCGACATCGTTCACTACGAAATGCGGAATTCGATGTTTCTCGGGGAAGTCATTGTTACGTCGGTAATTAAACAAACGTAACCGATCGGCAGTATGTTTATTTCGAATGGAAATGATGTATCATGAATCCGTTATTCGTTGATCATACATTATGAAGAGAAACTCAGCTGCATTGAGCCATGATAGTTTTGGTTTATGGTGTTTCGATCATCCCCACAGAGTTGCATGCGGCGCTCGCGTACATTTGTACACGTAATTTGCATTCGTCGCAATACGATAAGGTTAAATAGTTACTCCCGACAACCGCAATCCCAACATTCTAAACATTCAATCGATTCGCTTGTATTATTACCGTAACAATCTATCTATAGTTCTTCGCTATCGCTATCCTTCTCTTTCATCAATATACTTTTAATTAAAAGATAAATCGACACGTGTCGCAAATGTGAAAATTCGATGAAACGAAATTCACCGAATTCGCGACGCGATAAGATTTCGTTAATCCATGATTATCTTTCTATTCTCGATCGAGATATTCTATCTTGAGTTTCGCACGATGATCGCGATAGAAACTGGAATTACGATTGTCCGTGAAAATCTCATGGCACCGAAATTCTCGATAGGGTCGGTGTGACCACACGGTTGACCGCAAGTTCTCGGCTAATCCTCAGAAAGCTCCGGCTGCAACGACGTCGATGCGCTTTCAGAAGAACGACGTGTGCGGCCGTAAAGTCGTCGAACGACATCCCGACCGCTCTTTCCCTGTGCGAGTAATCCTCGTAGATTGGCGCGGTGCAATAATTCGCCTAGTATCGGCCTCATGGGGGCACAGCCGGCAAGGGGCGTTAAACGACCGATATTTTTTTCCTGGAGAAGCGCCGGCCTCGATTTGTAGTATACCTTACCTGTCGCGCGTCCTATCTTGCGTTCATCGTGCCAGTCGCCCCTAACATTCTGTTTATGCACCGCCACCTTATACGCATTAAACGTGCCGCGCCAGTAGTAAAATCGCAGTAAATCGATGCGTCTGTGCGACGATTAAACGTTGGCGAAATTGGATAAGTGGATAAGAGAAGAATCTGGGAAACGAGAAACCGACCGAAGAATCTCTGTCCTTCGATTGCCAAACTATCTTAAAGTTTTTTCAAGATTTTCAAATCGAGTAATTTTAAAAATAACTTAACTGAAAGACGTGTAACAAAAGTGGTTCGTTCGTACATCGTTCACGACGATAGTAATTAACACGGCAAATAGAACTTTTTTTCGTTCTTTCTTTCGAAGGAAAGAACACGTGAATAATAAAAGGAAGGATTTCTTCTGCGAGGGAAGCTAGACGCCAACGGAACTTAATTAAGATCCGCCGTCGTTGATCCTCCTACGAAATTTTCGTCGTCCACTCTTCCGGAAGACATGACAGAGACGAGCAAGAAGCGGAGAGACAAACACGGAATAGCCATGAACGCAGGAAGACCGGAAGGTGCTGCGAGGTAGCGTAAACAATTGCCAGCACAATTAGGAAACGTTTGTCCGTCTGTGTTTATCGAAGGATCCGTAACTAGCTTAGGTAACACCTATCCATTTGCTACTCGGCAACGGAGCCTCGACTTAGTCATGCGAACAATCTACAGAAATGTTATTGCGTCCCATGAAACGACAGACTCGTCGGAAAATCGATTAACATTCGACTGATTATTTTCGCTTTCGACGTTGATCACGTTCGAGTAGGTTGTAATCTGTTATTCGATAAAGAAGCTTTTACCTCGAAGAAAACTTTGCTATGAATCATTTATCCTTATCTTGAAGCGTTTCGTAATCCAAGAAATTCTTATCTACCTCCGCGAGTAGAAATTAATCGAGCGAAGATCCATTCCGCCAGAAACACGAAATTCGACCAATTAATCAGTTCGAATCAATGTTAACAAAAATTGGATTTAGATCATTCGCAATTAAGCGGCCGATGTCAGTGTAAAGCGGATATTTCTCATTCTTCGTGATCGATAAATAACAGAATCATTGACTTCAAGCAGACTGTCCGGCAGATTATACGATTAGAAGTTATGTCAGCGTAAATGGAGTTATTGGCGTACCAAGCACGGAGCGTATGCCATGGAAGAACTTGTTCTGACGTACGTTAATTTGATATTGGATAACCGTTTTCGTCGTTTCTGCGCGAACCGACGCGACACCACCCTCCAAAGGCACGCTCGTGTACGATGGATCTTTCCTTTTTCGTGAAAAATGCGTCACCGTGTGGAAAGTTACGACTTTTTAACATATTTTATTGACAACGTATTATATAGAGAATAGGTAATAATTTTATAACTGCAGTTTAATGACTGCAAAGAATATATCACGTAACTTACGATGTAATGAGGCAAAGAAACAAGAAAGATTTCGGACATTTCATTTCGTATTATAAAAATTCGCCGCACGTAGTGCGAGAAGACAAACTGTGAATTATCTTCTCAGTTAAAAAGCGAACGATCAAGTTGTATGAACAAACATCTTGCATGCATGAAATCGTAGTTCTTTTAGTATTTCATAGGAATTTCATATCGTTGCACTAATTTGTTCGCTTGTCGCGGACATTCCTTTCCACTTGGTTTATGACAGAACATGAGAATAGTTTTCAAAGAGACGATGGAAGCCCATTTCCGCGGCATTGTGTAAGAGGCGAATGTGTCGCGAAAAAAAACTTAATTTAGTTCAATCTGTCCGTTTCCGATTGGTATAGGTGTATGCATGTGGGCCGACATGCGGGTAATCGTTCTACCTTTCCAATTCCTGGGGATACAAATTTTTTAGAAAATTCTCGTTCGTACTGTAATCTGCAGACGTTATAACGGACGGCCATTATCTGCAAAGGGAAAAAATAGTTAATGGTTACAAAAAATTTATGAACCAAGCGAGACAGGAAGGAAGAAAGGAAAGATTGGCGAACGGATGCTCGTTTTTTACTTTTCTTCTTCCTCGTTCGTCTTTTACGCTGTTTTACGCTAGTCGATCAAACTCTATGATTTCTTCGTATTTCTTTTATTGTCATTATCTTAAAACCTCGACTGTTTCTGGTAGTCGAAAAACCACTCGTATTTTTCGGATACTTATTCGGATTCGGAGCTTATTTCATAAAAATATGTCGCCCTTATATCATTAGCTAGTTGATTTCTTTTTTTTTTTTTTTTAAATAAACTACGCTTAGTCACAAGCTTAAACTTTCTCGACTAAACATAAAAGATGAATAACGCGCCACATCGCTGAAATATGGATACCGTGAAGGTACTAACAGACTCAAACAGAGAACTGGTCACATAATCCCTTGACGGCAAACTTGTCGCATTATCCGTTGCATCACGTTCGGCAACTAGGCGTTAGTTTCCAGCCAAGGGACATTAGGTTCGGAGACGCTAAGAGAGTTGACTACAGGCACGAGTCACCTGAGAAACTAACGAGGCGAAGTTGACTTTGAGTCCTGAGAAATGTGCGAGACAAATTACTGGACAAGCGACTATCGTAGTTGTGTTATACTTTTCAATATATAAATGTCTTTCTTCAAACTCCATAATCATGAGACTAGTATATGAATTAAATTAGTTTCTCAATCAAAGAGAACATTATCATTCGTTCGATCAGGACGTGTTATCTTAGCTATGGATCTCTAAAATTTATGCATCAACTCGATTTGGAAACAGCACGATATGATTTATATACGACTGATATACAAACATGATCGTTGACAAATGTTTCATGCTATCTTTTAATTCGTGTTTTTACTTTAAAATTACAACCGGCTTCTAGTTCCACGTGCAATGCAGCAATGAAAGGCAGATACATCATGTCCTATCGATGGCGAAGGAAGCCATCAATGGTGTAACCAGGAAGCCGTCCAAAGTTCTGTAACGATGATGTATCGAGGCTGTACGAGACCCCTAACTTGTGGCCATTCCGATATACCGTAAGTTACCGTTTCTTTCGTTCCTTCTTTCTTTTATCCTTTCTTTCGCCACCCTTACCCGGGAGAAACATTACGTCCCTTGGTATCCTTGAAGTTACCATCGATGATGACCGTGACAGATAGCCTGTCATAACTCGCCAGCGCGAAAAACATATCTGTGTTCTGACGTTTGCTAAAAAAGTAACGCACGCCGGTTTTTCGATCCAAAAATGGACATGAATTATGTCGGTGAAATTGTGAAATGCCATCAATTTTTCTTCGATAAACTAGCCGAGTTTATTTTATATTTCGTCTAATGTAAGATTTATAAATGATACAATATATTTCTAACAAATCAGACAGTTTTTCAGTTTCTTTCCCTCGAAGTTTTTCTTTTCTTTTCCTTTCCTCCTATTGTTTTGAATATTTTCTAAATAGATATTTTAGGAAAATAAAATGATGTATTCTTACGTGGAATGTAATATAATTTTTAGCTATATAAATCATTAACTAAGTTACGTTGAAATGATATTTTTAGAGAGATGAGAAGAGATGGAAATTTTGATGGTTTATGGCAAAGAAGAGTTCGGAAAACTGTCAAGTCAAGCCGCAGTAACTTTTTAAAATCGAACGACGCTAGGGTCAACGGGGAACTGTCAGAGTAGCTTTAGTTTTCACAGGCAGCCCGCGTATTTCCGCGTAGAGGAAAGAGCACTTTCCTATGGTGATTCGCGACGTTTTTTATCTTTCTGCACTTTTATGCTGTCGCTCTTAGTCCAGAACGACATTGATGACGCATTAAAATTCATCTGCACCTTTATTGCCGATCATTTCATAGAAATTTTCCAGACGTTATCTTTTCGTGGAGTCAGCCATTAGGAAGATGCGATTCACACGTTAGACAAAATCGTATTCGATAATCGTTAAAACTTATGACGGGAATAACAGGATATTAGGATTAATAAGCTTTCACATAAATTACAGATGATGTTCCATGGAGACAGCGTTTGTAGTCTTAAATAATTGACAATTTTATTCGATAAAAGCAGAATGCTGCTTTCTATTTTGATTATGCATCATAATTAAATTTATGAAAGTTGACTGTTTGGAACACTGTGCTATCCCAACGACGCGAAAATGCACTTTCCCCTTTAAGTGCCTAAAGGGTTTACGTGCGTGCTTTTCCTCGACTACAAATGTCCATACTTTTAGTTTATCCATTATACATACTGCGATTGTGAGAAAAAATATAATGTTCATTTAAAATTATAATTGTTTTGCATTCGAAATCAGCATTAATTTTTCATTTAATTTAATTTAATTTAATTTTAAACATTTATATAATATTATTAAACATTCATGAAAGTTTACAAAAATATTACACTGAATATTACATTAAATATTGTATTTTTTAATATTTGAAAACTATAAAAAATATTTTTTTAATTTTTTAAATTACATTAACATAAAATAACATACCGATAATTGTGTAATATATTTTTTAAAGTATATATTTCTGTGTATATATTTTTATTTTATTTTATTTTTATATTTTTCTATCATGTAATCTACATATCTAATATATTTTAAAATATAAAAATTCATAAGTAACTTATTGTGAAATATTTAAATTTTTAAGCTATTAATATATAAGTATGAAGAACATTTTCTCTGTCCAATTTAAACGTGGCGCGCATGCGTAGTAGAATATTCGTTGAGAAATTTGAAAAATTCAGGTCACGTGATTCAAGTTGAACGCGTCGCGTTTGCGAGGAAAGAAGTCGGGCTTTGTTTAACATAAATTTATATTAAAAAATGTCTCAAACAGCTTATGTAATCGAATAATCTTGTAAATAATATAGTGCGTAATGACTGAAATGTACAATACTCTAAGAATATAGTGAAATAAATGTGGAATACTAAAATAAAAGTGTCGATGATCGTTTGTCGGAATGGAAATCGCAATGTAAGTCAATTTCAGTTGCAGTTTTCTTTATTTTGTTGAATAACAAACCTCAGTGTTGAATCAATCACACACATTTCAAATATAGTTTAAAATAGAAATAAAGTACGTTCAAATTAAAGAAAACTAACAATTTCAAGATAATTTCAAACTCATTTAAATAAATGCAATGTAGCGTTTAATTAATTGCTAAATTATATTGATCATATCAGAATTAATACAGGTTATACAAAGGTGAGATAAAATATATTTGAATTTGTTTTATTTTATCATATTAGAATCAACCACTTAATTCTACAATTTATACATATTTCAATTTAATCACTTTAATGTGGAAATAAATATAAACAGATAAGTAAAATCACTCAGAGGAAAATATGCTTATAATAAGATTATCTTCGTACAAATTTTGTCTAGTTCATTTTCCTTACAATAGATGCATACAATTTAAAAATTATACAGACTTTATCTCTACTTTGTATGCTGTATGCTATTTAAAATTAAGTTACTTACATTATATTCAACACTCTACATTTGGAATGTTCTGTTAAATAATCATGGCATTTTTTGAATTACACTTTTAAAACGTGGCAGTATACAATAAATTATCACTTTCAAAGAAAAAAATGTTTAGTAATTTAAAAATTCAATATATATATATAAATATCTATTAAAAGCAATGTAAAAGCAACGGTATTTTGGTGGTTAATCATGATACTAATTTGTGAATATACACTTGATCTCAACTGCAACATTCCTACTCAAACACAAAGTAATCAATATCTACAGCTCTGATCATTTATTATACAGAATTATTAACTGATATGTGTAACGAATCCATGGAATATCTTCTTTCTTGTTGTGTTGTTTTCAACCATTGTTTATGTTCGCACAAGTAAGGATATAATGGTACCACTAAGACACTGATATCGTCAACCGATGCCATAGGTGAAAATTTTTCATCCGTTTCTTCAAGATTTTCTGATTTACCAACCCAAGCTCGTCCAACTAATCTACCACGTGCTGCTTGTACCAATTCTTGAGCGCCCATTGTCAGTCTGTAAAATTTTATAATTTTTACTTTTAGAATAAATTCTTTGATTTTGATAAAAGAGAAAAAAAGAAAGGAAAGAAATAATACCTGTATTCTAATGACGGATTATCAGGAGCTAGTGTCTTTCTAAGTATATTCGCTGCTGCTTTATCTGACACAACATCCCAAAGTCCATCTGTGGCTACAATAATGCAATCACGTTCTGTGAGATTACAACTATCTAAATTTATAGATTGCACTTCGGGTTGCGATGATAGAAATGGTTTTATATGTACTCCTGTACTAGCTGCTTTTAAGCCATGATCTCCAAAACCACGTGTTACTCCTATAGTACCCATTACGCGACTCTGTAAAGGAAAAATATATCAATTTTTTTTTCTTTTTAACTGTATCACAATGTTTTTCTGATATTTACCCTTTTGCCATGTCCAGATATGAGAGGTAGTTTTAAATCGGACAGTGTTAATACTTTATATGCCCAACCAGTCATGTAAGGTTCTCTATACAAAACCAATGACCCTAATTCTTTTTGCAAAGGTCGTTTTCTAAATTCTAGTGGTGTGAAATGACCTTTCAATAACTCAGTACTTCTTAAAAATCCTAATGCTCTGACACGATTTGATTCTGAATCAGGAGTATGGTCTCTTGTTAATGCACGCTGACTCTCTCCCAAAACTAATACAGCTCTGTATATTATACAAGTGTACATTCGATATTAATTGTTTCGACTTTCATTACCTACATCAGAAATTTAACTGTCCATATTTTTACCTGGAATCACCAGCACCTGCAGCATATAATCTACCATTGAGAAATAGAATGGTAATTGCTGTGCAACCACCTCCCCCTCCTTGAGCTTGTGTTTCTACCATTTGATCCATTTGTCTATATGCTAATTCAATAGCACCAATTACTAAATCTCTTCCTTTTATCAGCTCATCTTCATCTTCATTTAGCAACATATTGCCAGGTATTGCCATTAATCTTCCCTAAAGAAACAATATATATTTGAAAACATAAAACTACTACTAGGTACTAAGATATAGATAATAAAAACATAATTGAAAACAAA